TTTTTTGTTAAAAACGATGTGAGCGGTTGTTCTAATGATACTCAGGTGAACATCACTCGCGATAAGATTTTAGTTCTTTAGAAATTTAAGAACAAACTATCTTTTGCACTATATTGTTTGAGTGAGCCATATGGTGTGTTTGTGATAGTTCAATGCATTGAACAATATGCTCTGGAAATAAGGAAATTGTGTATTGTCCCTTATACTCTATGAATGGACACAGTCTAACTTATAAGTTACGCGAATGGAAGAATGTTCTTGAAGCAAACTCTCAAATCATTCGAGATGATTTCATGTCTCTTCCTTACCATATATTGTTGAGATGAATTGTTGGATATCCAAGCATTATGCTCAAGGTTTGTGTCGGGTAATCCTTTTTTATATACACACTCTAAGTTATAAGTTATGCAAATGGAAGAAGGTTCTCGAAGCAAGCTCTCAAATCATTCGAGATGATTTCATGTCTCTTCCTTACCATATATTGTTGAGATGAATTGTTGGATATCCAAGCATTATGCTAAAGGTTTGTGTCGGGTAATCCCTTTTTATAGGTTCCTTTGGATTTTTTGTTAACATATCCTAGATAAAGAAAATGCTTAAATCCAACAAATTAAAACCAATATTTTTCAAAGAAATATACTATGGAGCTCTTGCATGCACATAGTGTACTAGACTACTCGACCTAAGGTTCATGTCTCCACGAATATTGGCAACACTTGGATAAGAATTTTAGATGCGAAAATATCTAAGGCTATAGGTTTATAGACCATTCTAGAATATACATATCTGGAGGAGAAAACCGTCGCTTTGCTATTGCTGATGAGAAGATCGGAGGCCTAGTCGGAAACGAAGAGTGAGCATTATCTTGTTGTTTCTATGTGCCTTGAGAATTTATGATCCTTTTTTATTTATCTTTGTTCTATCGATTTGTTTATCTTCAGATCCGGAGAAGAAAACGGCCACTCTGTTGTCGATAAGAAGATCGGAGGCCTCATTCGGATACGAAGAGTGAGTTTCTCTAACTTTTTCATC